AGATTAATTAACAAATTTACAATTCCGAAGCACACTTCTGAGTAGATTTTCTGCTTTCACTGACTTATACTGAATGCTGTATTGCTAGGGGATGCATGAAGGAGACATTTAAAATGTACTGTTAAACACAAGTAACAGTTTTCATGTTTTTACATGCATGCAGCCAAAGCAAAGGACTTCCGTTATAACTTGTCAGAGGTACTTCAAGGTAGGCTATTGGCAATGTATTCAAGTGCATTTGCATCAGTCTCTCAAAGATCAACTGTTCTCCTGGTTATTAACAAAATATGAATGTGAATAAGACCAGTTTCTCCTTGTGAATTTGTTAGCAAAGGTGGTATTTTCTAATGTTTAAATGTCATTTGAGCTCTATTCTTTGTACAGTCTGGACTCATAGATGAGCACTTTTCATTTTCTTAACAGTAGATGGGACTGGGCATTTAGCTGAGCAGTGGAACACTTGCCTAGCAAGCTGAAGCCTTGGGTTTGTCCTCAGCACCAAAACCAAAAAATAAACCTCAACTAAAAAGCAATTACAAAAAAGACCAAAAAAAAGAAAGAAAGAAAGAAAGAAAGAAAGAAAGAAAGAAAGAAAGAAAGAACACTTTCATCTCTCCATGATTGTCATTTTTAATGCTTGTGTGATAAGTCAGACTTCTGCATAGCATGTTAACTTTTTTTAAGTAGAGCCACATGGGGAAAATAAACATGGGTCATATCTGCTCTGTGCCAAATTTGTTTGCTTTTATGCAGTCTTTTAAAGTGTTTTGAATTAAAGAAGTGGAAACAATATTGCTAGTTGTTTTTTTTACACTAATGTTGAATTTATGAATATTGTTTTAAAATTATTGCCCATTATGATGTTTCTTCATAGCCCTTGTCCAATGCTAGCTTTTGGGCCATGTTGATTATAGAATGCCTTGTAGGGTATTGACAGTATTAAACTCAGTGAAAATGCTAAATACAGTTAGTCCTCCTGATGTGAATTCATCAAGATGTTAAAAATATCTATTTTGTCTTCTTTTGATGATCTTTTCTTAGTGGATCTGTTTTTTTTGATCCCCGGCACCAAATGCCCCACCAACCCTGCCCCCAGGACAGGCTGAGCCAGCCAGAGTCTCGGGGTAGTGGCACATGCACACCTGTGATCCTAGCGCTGGGGAGGCTGAAAGCAGGAGAATCACCGCGAGTCCCAGCTGCGTAGTGAGACCCTGCAACAACCAAATACATTTAAAAAAAGCAGTTACCTAAAATATTTTTAACAATGTAATAAATTTTATTATTTACATAAATTATACTGCTTTCACTATTATAACATTATAGTACTTTAAAAGTGATGAGACCAGTTAGTGTATTGTTTAACCCTTAAATAAAATAATATATCACAGTCTTAGAATTTGTTAAGTGAACATTTTCTGACTCTAATTGACTTGCCTATGATTCCTGGTTAAAATATTTGCATGGTATTGCTTTGAAGGATTAAAAAAAAAAAAGGATTTCCTTTGTCAATAACATTTATGGTTGACGTGTGGGCCTTTAATAATTCATATTAAATGTGTCTTCCCTTTTGTTTTTGTATCTATCATTTCTTGCTTATTATAGGAAAATTGGGAGTCTACGATGCTGATGGTGATGGAGACTTTGATGTGGATGATGCCAAAGTTTTACTAGGCAAGTACTCATTTTATTTTGTGCTAGTGATGGGAAAATACTAGAATCAGAAGAGTGTTTCTGCTTTTAATTTATTTCAGTTGTGAAAATTTTCTGAGCAATAATTCCCCAATTTAATACATTACATTTTTGTTTAGATAATACATGTTTTTCTCTGTGAGACACTCATGTTTCAATTTCATTTGTGCTTTTAGATTTAAAGCACTTCATGTTCTGAGCTGTATATATATATCTTAACCTTTTTTAGCATCATTTAATGTAATTCTCTTTCATTTGAAAATGTAAATTTCTGAAGACTTTTATCAGTTTACAGTATTTTGAAATAAATACATGATAGTAAATATCTTAAAATGTTCAATGCATATTTTGAAATTGACTTTAAGCTATGAATTAATGGTCTTTTGACCAAGTTAACTTGTTCTGGATATCTTGGACTCTATTTATCATCACAACTGTCTTGACTTATTATTGAGATTTTTCCTGTAATGAAGATGTAGTAGTCCCTCATCTGTTTTAAAATGCTGCCTTTGGAGGCCTGCCCCTTAGCTCAGTTCTTTAAGTGGCTGCTTCAACAAAGCAGTCAGGCTCAGGTTGCTGTGGTTCGAGCCCCACAACTCAAGCCAGCCAAACCTGCCCAGAAGGCATTTGGAGAAAAAAAAAAAAAAAAAAAATCCTTATTCGATAAAATGCTGCCTTCCTAGAAAGGATGGTGCTGATTTTAATTTGCAAATTTTGTGTAATTTGGCTTGATGAAATATGTATTCTGGCATTTATTTATTTATTTTTATTTTTTGTATTCAGGCATTTAAATAGCACCACTTCCTTTACTCTAGTATGTAGCATAATATGTATTAAAATCTTACATTAAAGTATTTAGAATAATAATGGATATTACTTCATATCATATTCTAATCTTACTAGACTAATAACACAAAAGCTTCATAGAAGTACTATTTTATATGTTTTACTAACATTAAAAACTAAAAAGATACCATATCTACAGCCATTTAAATTGCTTCTGTATGTAAAGTTCATTTTTAAGGATAAAAATGCTAAATATGAAAAATATTTTTAAAACCTAAACTAGTGATTTAATGTAATACAGCTTCTTTGATTGAACTCAGGCCCTTGTGCTTACCAGGCAAGCACTTATTCTACTGAGCTATCTCTTCGGCCCCGATAGTCTGTTTTCTTACTACTTCTACTATTTAATGGGAATTGATTTCTGCCACTTAAGGTGCTTGCTATAAAATTTCCATGAAATTTCCTTTCCTGACTTAATGGCATTTTCACTATAAATCTGTCATTTTGTATCTAAATGAGGATGTCTGTACATACATTAAATCCTCAGATGACTATAATTTTAGTCATGTAAAATAAATAAAATTATATGAAATAACATATCAGGGTGATGGTAATTTTCTTACTGTGAATGATGTGTTACTCCAAAGTACTACTTTAAGGAATGAATTCTGAGTTTAAGTTTAAACTCAGAATTTTAAATCTGAAGTTTAAATTAACTTCACGTGGGTCAAGTTCTTTTTTATTTTTAGAAATAATTTTCTCATCTATTATATTTTATTGATTTTTTTCGGATTGAGAATTTGAATTTTAACATATTTTAGATTTCAAAAGTTTATTCCCTTTAAGATTTTTAACTGACCCTAAGAGATTAAGTAAATGTAACTTTGAGGATTACAGTTTGTAGATAAGCACATATGGTATAGATAAATCATAATTTGTTCCTTTTAGAATTTTGTACTAGGAAATGGAAATAAATTTGGTGACTTGCAGTGTTCATTTTGATAATTTTAGTAGTAAAGAAAATAAGGCTAAGATAAGGGAGCTCTTCTGTTGGCATGCACTAGCTCCTAGCCAGCTTGTGGCTTTAGGAGAGCTGTCAGTCTCACCTATAGCTGTGTTCCTGTGCTGTGTGAATTCTCTGTGTACAATAGAAACGTAAACATGGATCTGACGATTAGAGTCCTTCTCTAGCATGTGAGATTGTGATGGGTTAGCAGCTCCTATGTTACTGGCAAGTGACTCTGAAGGTAGAACTTGGTGAAGTTTTGGCCAATAGAGACTTCAGTGGCTTCTGTGTGATCAGAGAGGAGAGATAAAGGCACAAATACGATGAGCATTTATTCCAGAGAATAGGCTTCCTGGCATTGTGTTCATTGGGGTGGCACTTGAAGGGTTAAGGCTAAATTTGAATAATGCAGGTTTTGGATTAAGGTAGAAGGAATACAGGGAGGGAGGAAGGTAGGAGAAGAGAGCTTAGCATGGCAAATATAATAGTGTAAACTTTTGCAGGTGTGCCATTTATTTATTAGATATTTTTCTGAATATTTTTAATGTATATTTGTAAATCATCAATTTGGGGAAATATAGATATTCATGTTTACATTTTTGTATCATTTTAAGTTTGGGTTTTTCTTTGAACTTAATATATGCGAATGAACCATGATCAGTAGTTGTCATTAATTTTATTATTTATAGCCAAAGCCCTTTTGGTATATTTTGAAAATATACTAAGCTCATTCCTTTCATTATTTCCTATTTCTGTGGCCAAATAATCTGAAATAAAAGTATCTTTGATTTTGGTTTGGATTATTGGTGACTACATTGTTTGGAAATATATTCTTTGCAAACTTGTGTCCCACATAAAACCAATAGGAAATGGTCCAAGGACTTAATGCTCACAGTAGCATCACCTAAGGATCCACTGGTCCTTTCATCCCATCACACCTAGCTGGTGCCATATCTGATATGGCTAGAGCACAACGTGAAGCCAGCCTGCACTTCTTAGAACTTTGATAACTGTTCGTAGACTGGGTGGACCATGAGTGAGCTCAAGGCTGGAGCAGAGTGGCATTGATGCCCTGCTCTTTGCTGGGGGCCTGCTCTTATAGGCTAAGAAGGTATTATATACACACAGATTTCTTTGTCATTCTCCAGGACTTTTGTCTTTAGAACCACAGAAAGGTTGCTTAACGAACAGGGTTTTTTTTTTTTGGGTGAGAGTATCAGGAATCAAACTTGGGACCTTGCGCTTGCCAGGCAGGTTCTGTGCTCCTATATCCGTGGCCTAATTGAGAAGTTTTGCTTAAATGGTTTGCATGCTTGTTGCACATTTTAATCTGTTATACTGAAGAATGAATGGTTTTATGTTTTGTACGTAATGCTTAGAAGTACTAGTAATAAATTGGAACATGGAGAAAGATATAATTTTTACCAACTATTTAGCTGTAATGTATTAAGACAGAAGGAAAAACTTTTCTTCTCCCACAATCTTGGATGGAAATTTAGATCTCCTGTTCAAGCATTTGTCAGCTCTGAAGTTCAGTGAGAAACTTTATGGGCTTGTTAAAAAATAAGTTAAATACTAATTACAATTTGTGTCTTTCTCTTCAAATATGTGAAGAATGACATACTGTAATTCTTTCATCGACTAAAGCAGAGAAAATTCACTATAATCTTTAAAACCTAGATTAGCTGCCACAGTGACCTTTGCATGTCAATGTTGATTGCGCTGTGGAGAGATTGTGTGTTGCCAAACCTGGAAGTGACTGAATTGAGGGGTTACGTATACTCTTCGGTTGTGGAAGTTCATCTGTATAGCAGCCCATAGTACCTACCCTGTTTTTCTCCTCAAAATTATGGGATATATATATATATATATATATCCATTATTGGCAGATTTTGATACTTATCAGCATCAAGAGACCTTTCCTACTCACTGCCACTTCATAGGAAAAGTAGTAATGGACACTTAGATTTCTTTTCATTAGGAGGGTCTGTTCTTGGTAGTAATGTTTAAATAATAGTGAATCTTTTTTTTTTTTTTTTTTTGATGGAACTGGGGATTGAACTCAGGCCCTTGAGCTTGCCAGGGAAGTGCTTATTCTACTAAGCCACCTTCCCAGCCCCTTTTTAAATAATAGAAGTGGCAGTCTTTGCATAAGAAGCTAATTTCATGTGCTGCAGGGGCAAGGGGTTTAGGATGTTTCCATTAAAAAGTGCCAGCTGAGGCCTTGACCCAATTTCCTACAATTAGGCAGAGTGAGTTATTAATACCTGATGCTTGTTATTGACTACAAGCAAAGGACCACAAATCAGTTGCCCGTGTATTACAGACCTAACCCATTTTAATAGTCTTAATATTTAAATGTTTTGTCTTAAATTCCATAATACAAGTGCATTGGTGCCCACTCGTGGATGGCATAACCAGTGATCCAGTGTAGCTCCAGAGTTTCCTAAGTTTACCCCACATCTTAAGAGTTTGAGGATAAGAGCAAAAGAGTGTCTTTTTTTCTTTCTTTTTTTTTTTTGGCACTGGGAATTGAGCTCAGAACCTTGTACTTGCCAGGCAGATGCTTGTGTCACTGAGCTAAATCCTTGGTCCTATCTTTCTGTTGTTGATGAATTTCATTGAAATACATATATGTCTGTGTCATCAACTCTCACTAATATCTGAGTGGTGATTTAGTGCATCTGGAGACTGTCAGAAGTTTGTGTCTTTTTCTCTGATACAGCTTCTGTTTCTTCCCATTACATTTATTGATTTGGGCTGAAACAGTTGTGTCAGTTTTCCAATTTCAGAGTCTGTAATGGGAAACTGCAGTCCTGCTCAGCAGCTGGGAGGCCTGGCTGGCGGGGAGCCGTGTGGCTTTGTAGCACGGACGATTGACAGTCGGGCACAAGGGGTGCAGCCCAGGTCATTTCCTTACTTTCCAAGATGCCATTTCTGTAAACTTCTGTGACCCTGATGCACATTCTTTTTGAAATCACTCTTTCTGGTTTTCCATCTAACAGATTTTCCATCTAACTGCTCTCATTTTCTTTCTCTCTCTTTTCCTTTATTCTTATGTAGGCCTGACCAAAGATGGCAGTAATGAAAATATTGATTCTCTTGAGGAAGTCCTTAATATTTTAGCAGAGGAAAGTTCAGATTGGTTTTATGGTTTCCTCTCATTTCTCTATGATATAATGACTCCCTTTGAAATGCTAGAAGAAGAAGAAGAAGAAAGCGAAGCCACAGATGGTGTTGATGGTACGTCACAGAATGAAGGGGTTCAGGGAAAGACTTGTGTCATTTTGGATTTACATAACCAGTAACTTTGATTCAGGGACTGCAGTCACATGGCTTATGAAACCTGGAGCAGCCTTCTTTTTTCCCCTTTCCTTCGCTTGTGCAGGGCTTAATGTGCAGTGGGGCAGTTGTGACCTTACAGTAGAAGTCCACCGTGTGCCGCGCCCAGTTAGGCTCTCGCTCTGCTGCCCTCACTTCTCCTGAAGAAAGTGGGATTCCTTCTTCTTGTAGCTGTCTGCAAAGTATATTGAAAATGATGTTCCTGGTGGTATAATTGGTTTCTGTATCATTTTGTTTGAACCCCTGTATTCACTGACCCAAATTTGAAAATTAATAGTAAATTGTGTTGTGCTTAACCTTCGATGCTTGTCTTACTAACCAACAATGTTGATTTTAATGGGCTTGATTTATAACATTATTTCTGGCATGACCCCTAAGTTGAATGCTTCTCTGTTGATCTTAAACTTGTCTGGTGTATAAAATGATGGTTCTTTAAAAGGATGATATTTTCGATCTGTAATTTGTTTAGGGTAGCTGACTTGTCAGATAGAGTCATACAAATTTCAATGTGAAATTCTGTGAAAAGGTGCTTTGGAAATTTATAATACACCATGTTTTTGCTCTAGGGTGGTTAAGTTACTTAGTTCAGATATTAGTATGTCTAAATATTTTTGTTTATGAAACAATTTATTTTAAATTTTCTTTCTAAGTATACATCCAGAGAAGGTAATTTGTATTTTTTTAAGTAAGCATATTATGAAAGAGTGAAAATGTGAATATGTATCTTAAATAATGTTGTACATATTAAAATTATTCATCCTAAATAAGTCTTTCTCTATTTTTTCCTTCACTAAGTTATTAGTTACTGATTTTCACATAGGCATAATGTGATTTTTAGATTTATAAATTACATGTATTGAAGTGATCATTCAGTGTTAGGAGAATGATTTTCTTTTCCTATCAGAAAACCTAAAAACATCTTTCAGCCAATTTCTTCAAAATGAGTTTGCTTTAATAAAACAAAAAGCAATTATATTGGCTATACATAAAATTTATTTCTTAAAGTGAGATTTCTTTCAGTTGTTTACTCCCTTGTATGGCTCTCACAACTGGAAAGGAATAAGGCTTAAGATCTTTGGTTACCACTACTCTTTGAAGGAGTGATGTTTCATATTTTAAAATTTCTGTACTTTTCCAGAATTTTGTTTAGCTTTGGTTTCTCAGAGAGGTTGAGCCTAGAAAATATTTGCATGTTAGAACATTTTTACTTAGGTATTATTTCTAATTATCAAATAATATTCCTTATTTTCCCATGTTTAACCAATTTACTTTCAAGTAGTTGGATTACTTGTTCTGCGGGTAATATGATAAATTGTTTTTTAATTATAAAATGTTAACATGAACAGAGATGTCTGAAGTCTAAATACAGGACTCTATCGGCTCAGCCATTATTTACATGTATCAGGAGATTTTCCAACTTGCTAATCTTACCACAATGTAAACAAATATTCTCTAGGTATTTTTAGATAGGGATGCTCATATTGGTCATTGGATGGTGAGTTCCTACAACTTAAATGACTACTAAAACTCCAGTTTGTTTCTGCCCTCATTACTTATGAGTTAACCATTCTGTTAATATTTCTGACAGTAAAAAGCTTCTGATTTTCACATATGTATGAACTTCAGTCAGCCTGTCGTCTAAGAAGGAGAACAGTGTTCCTTTTGAAAGTTAATTCACTCTGTCTACTACTGATCCTTTTTTTTTTTTTTTTTTTTTTTTGGGGAACCGGGGATTGAGCTCAGGCCCTGTACTTGCCCGGGAAGCACTTATTCTCCCTGGTCCCTATATACTGATCTTGTTTTGACTTTGAATTCTGTAAAATATCAAAGAGTACCAGGTTGAAGTCTAAAGACAATCTTAAGCCCTATTCTCAATAAAGTTCACTTAGCCAAATGTCTGAGAAATATTTTGAAAAGTAAATACTTCTTAATGTACCATGACTACTAACTTTAGAAGGTGTTTTACTGATGACAAGTGAATAATACATTAAAGATGTTTACATGTAGTTAACTTCACAAGCCTGTGTTTTTTTTTTTTTTTGTCATGATACTAATGCACATTTTATATACAGAAATTAATTATGCTTTAGTTTCACAAGTAAAGAATAAGAATGCAAGGTGATAGCTTGCCATTTATGTTGTACCATCTCTAGTCAGCTCATTCGAACAGCTTTGATGAAGTTTAAATACAACTAGCCAGTGAACCCCTGACTTCTGTGACCTCCTTCAACTTCTGCCTGAGGCTTTGTGTGGGTGTGTGGGGAAGGGGATAAAATTATTTGTCAGTCTATGGTCCAAACAATATGAAAGTTGGTCATCATAACTTGCTTAAGCATAATTCTTAGTTTTGTAAGATTCATCTTTTGTAATTTTAGTTCACAGTAGAAATGTTTTCCTAGTTCCTGTCTTTCAAACTTAAGAGGTTACTTTAAAAAGCCAACGTTGTATTTGGTATACTTGAATGTATTTATAGACATGGAATTTTGAATCGTACTATATTTACTTCATGCTTTTTCAGTTTTGAAAACCCTAAGAATCTCTGGAATATGCTGTGTAGCAGTGATGGTGTTGGGCTCTTACAGTGACTGTTTTAGAGGCTTTGGGTACATTTTCGTTTGTTGACATTAGGATATCTGGAGTTCTCCATAAGGCAAGGCGCAGCACACAGCAGTTTGTACACTTTCAGTTTGGATGTTTTGGATGACTCAGTGGTGGGTGCGTCAGCTGTGGACGTGTCCTCCTGGTGCTGCCCTTACTAACTTCTGGGTCTGGCTCAGCCTGTGGGGAGCCTGTGGGGAGCTGTGGGGAGCTCGCAGATGTGTGGGACAGAATGGAGCGCTGTTGGCCTTGCTTATTTGTGTTTTGCACTGGATTCTTTTCTCCATTGCATTACTTTCCTTTTTTACCCAGTAGCATCTGAATATGTCAGAAAAATATTTTTTCTGCTTTGAATTTTTTTATAAACATTTATATGGAATATAGTTTTCTTGTTTGAATATTTGCACTTTCAGAAAACTGTCAAACGCAGATATGTGTATAAATTTTATTCTTAATTTGATTACTTGACACTTATGCTATGTTTGGTACCCTGATCCTTTTTATGTGAAGCTCGCTAAGTCTACAAAGTGCATAACAAGCTTTCTGTAATTTAGCATGTTTGGTCTTCGTCAATCATAATATATGAGGTGTGATAAAGATATAGTAATTGTTTAAATTGTTTTAACAAATTATTACCATAAGACACATACCTTTAATACCCCTTAAAGTACTCCCCACTGCTTTAGCACATACTTGTCTCATTGTCCTGGCCACTTTCTGAAGCAGTTCTGGAAGGTTTTTTGTTTTTTGTTTTCCCAGTTGACATTGTCTAGTGGAAAACAGGCTCATAAAGACATTGCAGCATATCTTTGCCTGCCTTGTTCACTGGCTCTGATACTGGATCTGACTCTTCCCCAAAGTCAAAATGACCATGAGAGGTAAACATTTTAAATGGATTCAGGACATCGAGGCGGCTGTTACAGCACAACTAAAGAAAGACATTTACAGAGGACAGTTTCTTCCAGTGGTCATCTCTTTCCACTTGTGTTTTCTCAGTGTGGCTGTCTCTTCTGTGACTTCAAAACCCAGTGTGAAGAAACTCACTGCATGAAGAAACTCACTGCAGTGTCAGTCCGTCGGCGTCCATAGCTTTGCCCTCTGTCCATGCACTCCTGCCTAAAATGGCTCTTGGGACTTGTAAATCCTGTACTTTGTTGACATTGTTCCTGCTTCACTGTTACTCAGTGGATCCTTAGTTTCGTTTTCCGAGTGCTGTGAGTTTGTCCTGTCTGTGCTCTCAGAGACTGAACCTGATTGTTGTAATTTAATTATTAGTTTGATCTCTTTATCTTAAAATATTGAAAAATTATTGGCTGTGTATTTTAAGTTCCAAAAAAAGGTGGCTTAAATCGAAAATTCGTATCATTTTAAGAATTTTTATCCAAACCTGAAGTCTGTTAAGTTACTCATTTTAAGTGTTTCAGTAATCTGATGTTAATCTATTTGAGGCAAAATTAATGATAACCTTTTCATTAGTATAATTTTTTTGACTATGTCAGTTAAGTGTAAGGAATAGTGTCTGATTTTTGTGAGGTTAGTTTCTAGTGGATAAAATCTTGATCTGTCTTGAGAGAATATGCAGCAGGGGTGGTGAGATAGCTCAGTGGACTAAGCAACTGCTTTGGGAAACACAGGGACCAGGGTTCGATTCCCAGTCCGGTATTCTACTCTGGCCCCGCCCTGCCCCTGGGGCATGCTGAGCCAGCATACTGGGCCTGTTGGTGCACACCTGTAATCCCAGCACTGGGGAAGCTGAAAATAGGAAGATCTATGAGTCCAAGCTATAGTGAATACATTAATAAAGAAAAGGATTTGCAGCATCAGGAGGGACAGGGGAGGGAGGCACTAGCAGTACTAGAAGGCAGTTCATTTGTTTTATTGTTTTGCAAAGTTTACATAGCAGTAGTAAAAAAGACAAATAGCCCATGGTCTTTTTCCAGCTTCTAGGGCAGAAAGAGACCAGGAGGATGATTTTCCTGAGGTTCATGTTTGATCCCTGCCTGGATCTTTCTTCGGGATAGGAGTCCGGTTCATAATTTTATGAACTAGTATGGGCAGCCTGATTTCCATGGGTCTCAACCTCAGGCACCTGGTTGGTAGAATCACTGACGGTAACTTCAGGCAGCTGGGTACTCATGCCCTATCAGTCAACTGTAGGCGCGTGGGTACTAGTATTCAGGAGCTCAGCTGCAGTACTGGTCTGTAGCTAGCTCCAGCCTGATGTGGTAGGCATCCTGGTAGGCAGAAATCATCTCCGAGCCTCCCACGGGGAGCTGGCCAAATTGTCAGCCAGGTTCATGCCCATCTCAGACACATCTTATTTTCAACAAGGCCACCAATGTGTCCATCTTGCCTTCAAGGTGCCACTAACTCGAGTGAAGCTGGATAGGAGCTTTGACCAGAGGGTTGTGCTCTCCATCTGGGTCAGACTGTGCAGGTGGCGGGAGCCTCAATGAGCACAGGGCCGCCATGACAAGAACATGGAGTTGGAGGTGGCAGCCATGCAGAGCAGTTTAATGCTTTCTGCTATATATATTTTTGTATATTTAATAATGCCCATGTATTTAATGCTTAGTGTTATATGAAATTTGCTGTTGTAGTGTGACATAAACTTTAGTGGGGAATGGCCCAAGATAGTGTTCCGTGTCTCAAAGTGAGATCCTGTTTTGAAAAAGTTTAGGAATGAAACCATTTTGTCTGTGAAAAATAAGTGTAAATATGTACTGTTCAGGTTAGCCTGCCTGAACCCATCAAGTTACTGGGAGAATATAGCCACAGGAGGCAGTTATTTGTGTTTGTTCCCCCCTCTTCTCCTGTCAGTGCTAAGACATACTTGTTTTCCCTGAATGATGAGTAGATTAGGAATGAGGGTTGATGTGAACAATATAAAAGATGTGAAAATACCTCAGATTAAAAGTGAGAGTTTGAGAGTGGTGTCAAAACATATAGAGTGGGTTCTGCAGTTTGCAGCAAGAGAGCCAGGCTTACAGGGCTTGCTTTTGGCATCATCTTAAGACCTTAGCTTTTTTATTCCTGGTGCACCTCTTCAGGATTGAGGACTATGCCTCCCACCTGACTTGCCTTACGAAATGGATTGGTGGCTTAGAATGCCGTTTTAGAAAGTTTGCGGATACATGAATGTAGAACACCATGTTGGTGGCTGAGAAGTAGAAAACTGAGGGAGCTGCTGCTTGCAGGCAGGTGGTAGGAGAATGCATTGAAAGGCGTGTGGCTGGTGCTCACTGGAGGGTCAGAAACTCCCAGAGTCTTTGTCAGACTTTTGTGGGAAACAGCTGTTGCAGGATTTTAGAGTGAAAAATTACTATGTGCCTCTGCATATTATTCTCATATAATTTTCAAAAGGTTTGAAGTGATAGGAAAGAGAAAAGCTTATGCAAACAGCAAGATTCTGCATTTTATCAAAATATGCTGCCGTCTTTGTTGTGGCAGCGGCGGCCATCTGCAGCAGCGGTGTCTCTCGTGGAGTGCATTGCTAGTGCATTTCGTGAAGGTCCGGCACACGTGGTGATTACAGTGCATCTATTTGTTACAAGCAGCTAAATTGAGGACTTAAGAACAATACATGAATGATAGAAAAAGGCTGGGAATTTTTAAAAATGGTGAATTTAAGTAAGTTCATTTGTTTTATAAAAGCGTTGATCTTTAATATGTGCTAGATGCTTATTTTTGAATTCCCTCGGTTTTTTGTCTTTATAACCTATTTTCATCTTGTGAATGCCAACAGAAGGACCTGGTGGGGTAGCCAAGAGAAAAACTAAGGCTAAAGGTATTTTCTGTTTTTCCAATTAGCCTTGAGACAAGTCTAGTGCCTGACAACGCATGATGTTTTCTGGATTGGTAATGCGAGTGCAGCTACTAATGCTAAATAATACTGCCTTTTTGATTTTGAGTGAGCATTTTAAGTAATTGTTTTATAAAACTTCATTAAATTTTCTACTGGAAGCATACAATTGATTTCATTTTCATGTTACCACAGTGTTGTCATGCTTTTACATCAAAAGCTTACAGTAGTATAATACATATTTAGAGTGTTTGTATATTCACTTCTTACCTTGCTACCCCAAATTATCCTTGTTTTGACCTCTTGAATTAGTGCTGTATAAAATATAAATTCATCAATGATTGGTTTTATTTCTCCAAAAACTCTAATCCTGTTTCAGAGCACAGTAAAAGCTAGTGTGGTCAAATGTGTACTTTGTGGTAAAACAAAGTTTGTAACCTGAAGCACTGCATTGTTCTTCCGAATTTACTGTGGTAATTCATTAAAACTACTCTACTTTTCAAATTTTCTAAGCTAATTGTTCAGTGTTACAGCTTTACTTATACACAACTGACCGATGTGCAAATGCTTTGTGTTCTTTAGCCAGAGGGGCCTGAAAGAAGTGCATGGCTATGAACTTTTTTCTTTTTTGGCCAGCTCAAGCCTGCCCTCCTGAGGGAAGGGCTGGTGCAGCATGTGGTGCCGCAAATTGACCCAGCTGCCTAAACTTGCCTACACCTACTTCTTTGGACTGCTGAGCTATCTCGCTGGCCCCGCGTGGCTATGAACTTGTTCAAGTGCTTGGCATATTGTTTGTAGTTTCTTTCTTTTCTTTTTCTTTCTTTCTTTTTTTTTTTTTGACAAAACATGAACATGGAGCTGGGGAGATGGCTCAGTGGAATAAGTGCTTCCCTGGCAAGCGCAAGGGCCTGAGTTCAATCCCTGGTTCCGAAAAAAAAAAAAAAACAATATGAACATGTAAGCCGTTCACTGTGATCTGCAGATTTTTGTGACTTGTATTTTAAGAGGAGGGAATTTTTTTTACACTAGTTCCACACTAGAATAATTCCCAGGAAGAAAACACTTTTGCCATTGAATTATTTTATTTTTTGCCATAAATAATGATAAAACATTTTTACTTTTTTGTGTCAAAAATGATAAAATTAATGTTCAATAAAAGTTTTTTTTAATTTAAAAGGCAAAGTAAACATTAAATGTTTAAGTTTCTAAAAAGCATGCAGTGTAGGCCTGACCTAACATTGTACAGGCACTTCACTTTTCTGCAGTGCTGTTGTCTGTCTCTCCAAACCCTGAAGGGGAATGAGGCCTTAACACGCTTTGGGCATGCTGTTGTTCTACTTCCTTACAGGAATTTGGGGAGATTTTTAAGAAAGATTTTTTGAAGAGTTTCAAGGTGGCTTAGTATGAAATGCAGCTAGTAAGAGAAACCTTTCATGATATTTTTGCCAGTTGATCACGCTTTTGTTGAACAGTGGCGGTGGGCCTTTGGCACCTGTGCTGTAGCAGCAGTTAGTATCGTCGAAGCTCTGAAAGGTTCATCGTCGCTGGTCTAGAGAGACACCGTGCAGAGGCGCTTTTTGTGAGCACCACACAGATGGTGCTCAGTTTTGAATAACCTTTGTACTAATGAATTTTGCATGATTTTGATTTACAAAATCATCTTGCACATTTTATTATATTTAGGAGATTGTGGGTTTTTTGGGTCATTTCTTAAATGGTATCTTATACGATAAGCACCTTGCCTCATGATTTCTTGATGAGAGATGATGAAAATTAAATTTAAGTCTTCTGCTTAACTGATTTATTAAGCTATATGTAGAACAAGTGCAAAGCAGTATCTCATGTGAAGTTTGGAATTAAATGTATATTCCATTTAATGACTCCCTCTCCTCTGATGTTCAAGTTTTGGTACTGCTGTATAAAATACATGTTTTGTTCAATTGCTTGGCATATTGTTTGTAGGTATTTTTTGGTCAAAACATGAACATGTAAGCCTTTCACTGTGATCTGCAAATTTAAGACCTATTTATTGTCATGTGTGACTCTCCAGAAAATACTAAGAAAGCATCCTTTAAAGGAATACTGATTTTACAATACTAACTTTTGTTTGTCATTTTATGTAACACAAACAGTGGTTTTCAATTTTCATATGCATGGAAATTGTTTTCTGCTTGCTTAGCTAAGATAGCTAAGTGGTATGTAGCTTTTATTTATTCATATTTTTCTTAAAGACTATAGATAAAAGTATACAAATATAAGGACAGAACTTTTTGTTTAAGCTAAATATTTTAATTGTCTTTGTACCAAAACAAGTTACAAAAAGCTTATTGTATTGTTAGCATTCCTTTCTTTGCACTGCTACAGTCCCAAAGTGTGAGTTAACACATTGTATAAAGTGCTACCCCAATGGGTAGACTCTTTAATTTTGCATGTTAACCATGTATTGAGGCAAATCATACCATACTTGAAACCAAAAAAGAAAAAAAAAGCCAAGTTTATAACATTTTTTGTGACTGATGTTTTAGAGATGTTTGTATCTCTTATTGGCTAACCTAAAAGCTGGTGAATTGAAGTTTTCTTTTTTGATGAACATTTCCTGTGGTGGGGGAGATAGATTAAAAAGTCAGTACTTTTCCACTAAATAACTAAATTAAGAGATGCCATCAGTAAACCTGTTTTTCCTTTAATTGGAAAACATGAAAATTAAAGAGCCCAGTAAAGAAGAGCTCAAGAAGGAAAAGGAGAAACTTATGTCAAGGAAAGAGAATAAAAATGAAGAGAGAAAAAAGGGGAAGACAGACAAGGAGAATGACCGGAAGGGTAAGAAAATTGCTGATGCAGACATCTCCCGGAAGGAGTCTCCTAGGGGCAAGAAGGACAGAGAGAAGGAGAAACCGGACCTAGACAGAAGTGCTAAATCCAAGGACAACAGGAAAAAGTCAGCAAATATGAAAGACAAGGATGACAGAAAAGAAAGTAGCAGTTCTGCCAGGCATGCACACTTGGAAAAAGGAAACAGCCGTAAGAGAGCCAGAGCCTGACGTGGTCCTGGGAGATGGTAATAGTCCTCACTGTGATTTGCTGCTAAGGGGCATAGGAATTGTAGAGTCCTTGCTGTGGCTAGAGGAGACGTGCACACTAGCAACTGAATGTATTTAGTTATTGGTGCTCATTAAGTAAATTCTTTAAAACTTAATTATACTATGTCAGTGATTCTAAATTCAGAAAGATGAGTTTTTAAAAATGTTATAATAAAATAGGTAATAACTTCTATTTTTATTTATCGATCATGTATTCAGATAAATATATACTATAAATTGTATTAACATATAAAATGCTTTTTGTTGAAATTAAATGAGAATATTAAAATGATAAAACTATTTTTGTTCAGGGTAGCATAAATTTCAAGTATGCTAAGTACTTGGCTAGGTACCCTCTTTCTCTGATTGCCCTTTGTTTTCTTCCCTCTTTCCTTCCTGCTTGCCTGTTTTTCTTTCTGCTGTACCTACCTCCCTTTCTCCTCCCCATCCTGGCTCTTCTCTGGACCCCTGTTCTAGCCCGTGTGGCACCTCCCTTCCCAAAGCCTTCTACCAGTAGCCCTCCCAGGCTTTTCAAGGGCTGTGTCTTGCTCAGGCTCCTCCTACGTTGTTTCATTTCTCCAGTTTTCCTGTCCCCTTTGCTCCCCGTTGCACCCCTCCTGATCCATCCCCCCCATCCCTTTCTACCTATCCTATTCACCTATCATCTGTCAAATGCTAAGTGTTTATGCCACGCCAGATCTACCACTTTGTCCATTCATGGTATCTTTATAAATAAAAGCTAGAATTTTATTTAGGAGAGCAGTTTCATGATACTGTACTTATGATACCATCAAAGAATCAGGATAGTTATGAAAGGCTTTAGTATTTCACTTTAGTATATTTTATAGTACACTCTTTTGGTTATTTTTTCATATATTTTCATATTTGATTTTATCATAACTGTATACCATTTCTAAAGAACCACAAATTTGAAATTAGAATTTAGTCCCTGATAAAACATTCAATAAAATGAAATTTTAGAAAGTAGTCAATTTCTATAAATGATGTGTATTCTTTTGTGGATGAAGTTTTAAGTCTGATTTTGATTATTGGTTGAGCAAAATAAACTGATAATCAAAAAGTACTTTCAAAACTTTCACTTTTAAAAAAATAATCCTTTTTCTTTGAAGAGCTGGAAGATTTGTTTTGGGCCAAAATAAAAATATCTCAAATTAGAAATGAGTAAACTAAATGAAAGTATTTCTAAAAGTATCATACACATTCTTTTCTATACTAGCAAATGTGGTTAAATATATTCAGTCTAACATTTAGTTGACAAAAATTCCAATTTAAGGGCTGGCCAAATAGCTCAGCTGATTAAAGCGCCTGCAAGCAGGCACAGCTGGGGTTTGATCCCCGGGCTTGGCATGCTGGCCCCGCCCCCAGGATGTGCTGAGACAGCAATTGAGCTCTTGGCAGGCTGTAAACAGGTGGATCAGTACGAGTCTGATATAGTAATGAGACCCAGAACACCCTGTAGATACTTCCCTAAAATTTAAAAAAAAAAAAAAAATCCTGTTTACATAATAGTACTATATAGTAAAGATGAAATCCCTAGACATGTATCCAGTATCTTTATCTGATCCACTCCTTTATTGTTTTTGGGTAAGACCCAAAGAAATTTCATACACTGATTAGTCACTATTTCATTTATATAGATGATCAGGACATAATAAAGCACAAAAGGAACTTTATAACTCATTTGCTTCACAAATAAAGCGTCCTGACTTCAAGTCATTAGATCACCAAGCCAGAGCTGTAATCATAGTGTTCTGCCTCTTCCTAATAGTTATTTGGGCAAATCAGCACCCTACTGGTTTCTGTCCAGCTTTATTCCTTATGGACAAAGAGCCCTGGTAGTTCCCAGATTCCTCTGTCTAGCTTTCTAGGATGGGTCTGGGAGAG